GTAATTATCTCTATAGAACTTTTTTCAATTTTATCTTTTTTGAAGTAATTTGTTTTTTAATTTCTCTTTTATTTAATCTTTTCATGTTTTATTTCTTTTCGGTTTACGATGGAAAGAATATTTTGAACAAAATTAGAATAATAGCGAACAAATAGAACCCTAAATATCATTGTTTTATGAAAATACATCAATGATAATAGAATAACTACAACCAATATTAATAAAAATAAAAAATGATTAATTAAGTGGTATTACTTTTATTTTCTATTCTTCTTTGTTCATCAAGGAATAACCACTTCGTTATATCATAAGAATATTTTTTCATCATTTATTCATTAGCTTTTCATCATGTTGAGAAGTGAATGTTTCAGGTTCTTCAAACTTACATTATTTTCTTTAAATTAGTATCATTTCAAACTTCCTTAACTTACTTATTCTTCATTTAAGGAACTATCTTATCTTTGTTTGAAGTTTAATGAAGATTAAAACCTCTTTATTCTTTATTTTCTTATTTTGTAATGAATGAATATACCATTACTACTGTATTATTATGATTAATTTCTTTCATTATTAACCATCCCCAATATACCCTTTTCCTTTGATAATACTCATATGTTCAATTTAAACTATTCATTATCAAATATCTTTCACCCCTCCCCCAACAAGTAAATAATATACCTTCTTTATAAATACTCATTCTTCTGGTATAATAAATGAAATTTCATCATCATAAATAATAATCACTTTCATGCATGTAGGAATGAATAATATATTTTCTAATTAAATCCAACGTCACAATCGTATTATAACTGATAATTCAATGCTTTGATTTATTGTAATGTTAGTGATATTTCTAACATGCAACTTTCAATTTATAGAATAACTATAAAAAAATAAAAAAATAAAAACTAAAACTAAAAAAAAATAAATGGAACAAATTGAACAATTAGAAAACGCAATCACTCAACAAGAATTAGACTTAAAAGACCTTAATGAATTATTAGTTGAAGACTCAACAAATGAAGAAATTCTTTCATTAAAGAAAGAAGCAGAAACAACACTCAACACATTGAAAAAACAATTAGAACAATACCGTTTGACAATCTTATCTTCAAAAGAAGAATTAAAACTAACAAACAACAGTTCTTCTAATAATACAAATGAAACAAAAACCATTTACTTTAAACCAAATGACCAAGTTATTGCATGGAGTCAAAGAGATAATGGATGGTTTGCTGCAATGATTACAAGACCATCAAATAATCAAATGTATTGGGTCAGATTTGGTCCTCGTGATAATCAACTTGTTTCATTAGACAAAATTAAACCATTTAGTGACATTAACTCAGTACAATTATCAAGTATAAATACTTCTAAAATTAAAATTAGAAAACTTCCTAAAAAAACAATTACTGAATTACCTAAATGGACAAAACCAAAACCTAATGACACTGAAAAAGATTTATTACTTAAAAGAAAAAAAAGACATCAGTTAAAATCTCTTATGAAGTTTGTTTTTTTTTTTGTTTATTTATTTAAACAATTTAATATTTAAATAATTTAGACAACAAAAAGAAGAAGAGGATTTAGAAACAAAAAAAAATAGTTGGAAAGCATTTGCAAGTAAAATGAAAAAATAATAATAATAAAAAATCGCTTTTTTGATTATTGAAGAAGAAAAGCATAAAGTGGATAAAATTGTGTTGGGTAATTTAAGTCTTTTCTAATTTGTAATGTTTGTAGTCCTGATTGTGCAAATAAATGAGTCATATGTTCAACTGTTCTCATTAAAGAATTATCAGAACGATCCCAATAAAATCCATCAGTTCCAACATTTTCTTTTATAATAATTATTCCACCTTCTTTTAAATGTTGTTTACATTTTTTTAGCATATCAATTAAATCATCATCTCTTAAATAAAGAATTGACCATTGAATCCAAATACAATCATATTGTTTATTTAATTGTAAATTTTGCATATCACAAACAAATGCATCATTAAATGATGGAAGTATTTCTTTTAATTCTTTTGCTTTATTAACATGAACTAAACATTGATCAGCTACGTCAATATGTTTATAATAACGAGATAATACATCTTTTGTAACTCTTCCAACTCCACCTCCAAGATCTAAACAATCTTCAATATTACAATTCATTTTAATTAATATATTTCTTAAAAAAGTATGACTATTACTTTCATCTATTGGAATTAATTTGGTATATCCATCAACCATTCCTTTATCACTACTTTCCATATTATCCCATACTTTTTTATCTAATTGATACCAATCATTTTTATTAACAAGTTTATAAACTTCTTCAATACTTGAATAAACATTATTTAAACTATCACTTCCATTGAATGTTAATTTCATTCTTCAATTAGATTCTTAAAAGATTTTTGTTTTCATATAAACCCTTTTTTTTTCTTAAAAAAAATAACTCAAAAAAAAATTTATGAATAATATCGTTGTTCTTCTGTTTTTCATTATTTCTATACTCATAATTATTTTAATTTGTTACATCTCTTATAATTTAATTCAAATCCATATACTTGAAGAAAGAATAAAACAAAAAGAAAGTGAAGATGAAGATTATTCAGATGGAGAAGACCCTAATTATATTGAACAATATCATATGCTTGGAGGTGAAGATGAATAATTTAATAAATTTTTATAAAAAAAAATCAAAACTTTTTTTAAAAGAAGTAAAGTGAAATTAGAATGGAAAACCAAATCCATGACTTGTTAATTTTTGAATCATTTTAGGATCAATTTCATCTTTTGATTTAGATAAACTTCGAACAATATTAGATAAATATTTTCTTACAATAAATACTAATGAAAGTTCTTGAGGAACAATATCATATAATGTTATAATTTTATCAACACAATCAACTTTAATTGAATTTTGTTTAACTTCTTTATTTGCAATTTTCTTTTCTAAACTATTCATTACAAAATTTATTAAGGAAATATTCCATGATGCAAAACATGATGTTGGAGCAACTGGAAATGAAGTAACAAATACACTATGTGTAGATTTAATTAATGGAAATGCAAATGAACAAACATTTTGAGTAACTAAACTTAAGTTTTCAGAATGAAGTTCTCTTTCAATTCTTTCTTTTGCTGTTTTTGTTCTTGCATCTAAGAAAATTAACATAGCTTTTTCTTCATTTGTTACCTTTTTTAAATGATTAATAATTACGACTGTTTGACGAGATGATAAAGATAAATCAAATAATCTCTTTTTTAATTTATCTACAATATGATCAATCATTTCTTCAAATTGGTCTAATGCAACATGTCCTTTTAATACATTTTTTAAATCATTATTTTTATTAAGTAAATGTCTAACGTTATCATGAATTTTAATACACTCATCAAAATTCCATTGTGAGAGATATACTTGAAGTAAACTTGGTGCATCTAATATATATTTAATATCATTTCTAAGTTGTGGTATTTTACTAGTCATATCATTATTTTCATTATTTAATGAATTAGAAATATTAAGAAATGAAGATCGTTCTGTAATTAATTTATCTAATTTAGATTGTTGTTCTCTCATTTCAGTTGCATAATGTTGATTTAATTCATCAAGTTCAGTTCCTATAGCATTAAATTGTGTATGAATTGTCATAAAGTCTTGTTCAATTTCTTCTAGTCTTCTAGTAATAGCTAAAAATTCTTGGTAATTATCATAAACAGCTTGTTTTAATTCATCAGACTTATCAGCAAGAAATCCTTTTAATTGTTGTAATGTAGTATTTTCAATTTGTTGATGAGAATGATTTTTATAAATATCATCAATGTAACCCTTTTCATTTTCTTTTAATTGTTGAATAAGTTCTTCTGCCATTTATCTTTTTATATTTTTAAGATGAGATAATATTTTTTTAGATTAGTATTATATTTTTAAATAATCACAAATAATTAAAACGTAAAAAAAAAATATAGATAAAAACCCATAATTTTTTAAAAAGAAAAATAATATTTATTAAATTAAATAATTGAAATAAAGAATTAGTAATCTTCACTACTAACAAAATCGATCTTATCTTTCGCCTTTTACTAAAGATAACCGTGTTAGTAGATTTACTGAAGATGAAGGAATTTTTGGAGGGTCTATTCAAGGACCAATCTTTTTAGTAATTTTATTTTTTTATCTTCATCTTTTTATTTATTAAAAACTAAAAATTCAATATTTTGAACATTTACTAAATGGTAAAAAAGTTATTGTCAAAATTATTCTCTTACACATTTACTTATAATGATGAATTTACAATTGAAGGAGGTGAACAATCTTTAACAGAACAATATCGCTTTATTCATGAAAACGAAAATTTTTTTCTTCAAGTTAGAAATATATCAATTAAAGAAACAGTTAATGATATTATTATAAATGAACTTCAAAGTTTTGGATTTATGGGACCTAATGATTCTCTTTCAGTTATTGGGGAATGGAAAGATATTATAATACCTTTTAAGTTAAAGGTTTTCTTTTATTCAAAACAAACACAAGAAGCAAAAATGGGAATTTTATTTTTTGAATATAATAAAGTTTTCTTTGAATTAATGTCAACTACTTTTATTTCATTTGATGAACTTACAGAAATTCTTAAAGGAATTGATCTTTCTAATGTTAAACAATCACATAAATTAATACTTAATGGAGTTGTAACTCAAACAATATATAAAGAAGATTTTAAAGTTAGAGTTCCAAATCATTTTAAAAGAAATGGTGTATTTTATACAGGAACAATTCAAATTTATGATGATGATATTATCAATACAATTAATCTTAGTTTTGGAAAAGATATTGTTTCATCAGAAAAAATATTTAAAAAAAGAATTGAACAAATGTGGGGATCAATTCAAACAACATCTATTACTTTAAATTGTAATTCTATTTCATGGATAATCCTTTCATTTATTTCACCAAATAATATTTATGGAGTTAAAAATCATTATCTTGCTTATCATCAATATAATAATGCATTCTATTCAGTATGGTTTGGGTTACTTCATGAAAATGCAAATATAACTCCATTATTTACTCTTATTCTTTCAAATTATAGTCATGAACAATTAATTTTAAAAGATAAATTTCCATTATATCTTCATTTTAATCCTGAATATAGTATTTCTCTTTCTCCATCTTTCCTACCAATTAATTCAGCTGATGAATATGGTTTAATTAGTGATATTCTTCCATCAATGTTTATTGATAAACAGGCAATTTGTAGATTTTTTATTAATGTAACTCCATTAACAGGAATTCCAAAAGAGACAGGATTAGATATTATTAATATGGAACGATTAAATTTAAAAAATCAAAAAACGACTCAAATGATTTCTCAAAAAACTGAGAAATATGGAAAATATGATTGTTGGTGTGATATTTGTAAGACTAAAATTCAAAATGATGAAGTAAAATGTATGATAAAATATGTTTATTTCAAAAACCCAGATGTTTATGTTCGTTTTAGTTTCTCTGCACCAGAACAAACATTTAATGAATGTTATATTAATCATCACATTCCACAACTAATGGGTTCTTTAGATCTTTCTCTTCTTAAATCAAATTAAAAAAATAATAAATTCATTACATTTCTTTTTAGATCATTTCATTTTCTTCTTTAATATGTTTGAATATTTGTTCATAAGATTCAATCATTAATTCAAATGCATTTTGAATTAAGTTTAGATCATTAGCACTTTGTTCCCATGTTAAATCTGGATTTCTAACACAAGCAGGTCCAAAACAAACTGCAAGATTCATTGGTCCCATTAAATTAATAGCTTTATTGATTGAGATTAAGTGTAAAAAATCAATCAAATACCATAAACAATTTTTATTGATTGATGGAAGACTTTCAACAAATTTTCTTAATTGTTTAATACGTTCTTTTTTATCAACACATCTACCACACTTAACAAATTCATCATATCTAAAATATGGAATAATTGGATCATCCAAAGAAGATAAATAATTTTTACAAACAGCTGATGCAATACGAACATTTCCAAAATCAATTGGTTGAGAAGTTGTATCTGACTCTAATATTTTTTTAACAGCCATCATTTCATCTCTACTTGGTGAAACTCTAAAAATTCCTTCAGTGGTAATTCCTCCATTATATCTTAAATATTGAATACTTCTAAAAAATGGAACAGGATATCTCCATCCTGATTTTAAACATGCTACACGAAGTGGATATCCATATGTTCCACTAATTTTCATATTTAATCCAAGTTGTGTTAACCAATTAATAAATTTTCCAAAATCATTAAATAAAAAAATATAATTTTCTTTTTCAGTATTTATTTGAAATGATTTATTAACTTGTTGTTCTTCAAGTTTTTTCATTAAATCTCCATTTCTAATTAAAACTGATTTTTGAATATCAATTGTAAATTCCTCTTTTTCTTTTTTTAAACATATAATTTTATTATTAATTAATGAAATACTTCCTTCATTAAATTTTCCTTTTTTTCCTTTACTATATTGAATTGGAGTACTGAATAATGAGTGTTAATAACTTCTTTTATCTTTATTAAAGAACAAACAGTTCAATCATTATAACAGATCTTTTTATTCTTGTTAGTTCTTTTTTTTTTCTAGATTTTCAATTATGAATTATTTCTTTATTTTTAAAAAATACCAAAAAAATGGTTATTATAAAAATAGTACATTTAAGAACTTACACTTCCATATTTATTATTCCAATCTATATATTCCACTAAATCATCTTGTGAAACTGATGGTCTTATTGTTTTCAATGAATCAATAAAATCTTTTAATTGAACCGGTCGAACTTGAGAAGTATCTACATCAATAATATTCATTTGTAATGAATTAAGTTCTCGAATTGGTCCATATGCAGCATCTTTAACAAGTTCTTTCATATCACTTCCAGAATAACCATTAGTTTTCTCTCCAATAATTTTAATGTCTTCTTCACTTACTTCATTTTTTACTTTATTTAATAATGTCTTAACTAATGTCATTCGTGCTTCAATGTCTGGTAATGGAATATACAATCGCTTTACTAACCTTCTTCTTGCTGCTTCGTCTATTTCTTGTGGTCTATTTGTTGCTCCAACAACTAAAATTCTTTCATCATCTGTTCCTGCCCCATCTAATCTAACTAAAAATTCTGTTTTTAATCTTCTACTTGATTCATGTTCACTTTCACTTCGAGCACTTAACAACGAATCTATTTCATCAATAAAAATAACACTTCTTTCATAACATGATGCAACAGCAAAGAGTGCCCGTACTAATTTTTCTCCTTCTCCAATCCATTTACTTGTTAATGCAGACGCTGATATATTAAAAAAAGTAGCATTGCTTTGACTTGCAATTGCTTTACCAATCATTGTTTTTCCAGTCCCTGGTGGTCCAAATAATAATAATCCTTTTGGTGGTGCTCTTAGTCCTGTAAAAATATCAGGTCGTAACATTGGCCAAATAACTGCTTCTTGCACAATTTTTTTGGCATTTTTTAATCCTGCTATTTCGTCCCATGTAACTTTTGGAGATTTATCTAAAATCTCATGAACTATCTTTGTTAATAATGAAGGATCATTATTAATTAATCGTGGATCATCTAATGGTACTCCATTTACATCTTCTATCCAATCTTCTGTTTCATCTCCTTTCTTTTGTTTATTAATCTTAGTTTGTTTTTCCTTATTTTCTTGAATATTATCTTTTTTATAAGGTGGTTGAAATTTTTTCTTCGGTTTTTGTGGGTTATTTCCTTTTCTAATTTCATCCTGATATAACCTTTCTGCTGCCGTTTGAAATCCTGTCTCATTTTTAGTTTGAATTCTTTTCGGTTGAGGTGGGTTTGGAACAGAATCATCAATGGTAATTTGTTTCTTTTTAATAACAGGAATCTCATCAGAAACTAATATTTCTCGTTTTAATGGAATAGTACTAAATTTTGAAGAGTCATTTTCTTGATTATCTAATAACAATGAAGCTCCCTTTGTTGCAGAAGTAATATAATCTGAATTTGAAATAAATTCATCAATGTCATATGGTTTAATTAATTTCAAAAAATTACTTTTAATAAAAATTTGATATTCTTTTGTTCTTGGGTCATTATATTGAATAAGATTATCAATCAACGAAGCGTATTCAACATCATTTATTTCATCTTTAACAAATAAAGAATTAAGTTGTGATACAATCTCTTCACTCATTCTCAATAAAGTGATGTTTCTTAGTTTTTTATTCCTCAACCTTTTATAGTGTTTCATAATTTTTCTAAAAAGTAAAAAAAAAAGGTTTGTTTTTTTTTTATATGAGGGGTTTAAAAAATATAAAACTTAAAAATATAAACAACCCCAATGACTGACCCAACAATGCAAATTCCTGATTTTGTTCAATCTGAAACATTTAAAATGCAAGTTGAACCATCAAACAAAGACACTTATGTCGGTACAGTTTCATTTCAAGAAATGGGATTGAAAAAAGAAATTATGCAATCTATTACTGATTGTGGGTTTGAACATCCATCTGAAGTTCAGTCACAAGTAATTCCAAAGGCATTGTTACGTCAAGACATATTATGCCAAGCAAAATCAGGTATGGGTAAAACAGCTGTTTTTGTATTATCAATTCTTAACCAAGGGTTATTCTTAGGGGATCATGTTTCTGCCATTGTTATTTGTCATACCCGTGAACTTGCTCGACAAGTTCAAAATGAATTTGATAGAATGAAAAAAAGACTTGTTGAGTCAATTGGTAAAGACATTCAAACAGCTAGTTATATTGGAGGAAATCCAGAATCAAATGATGTAGATGATTTAAAAAATAGAAAACCAACTATTATTGTTGGTACACCAGGAAGATTAGCTTCTTTAAATAATTCTGGGGCATTAGATCTTAGTAAACTTGATACCTTTGTTATTGATGAATGTGATAAAATTCTTTCATCTAAGTCTGAACTTGATATCATGTCATTGTTTATGAGCTCTTCAAAGAATAAACAAGTGATGATGTTTTCAGCAACTATTTCTGAACAAAATAAAGCCTTATGTCGTAAGTATTTAAAGAACCCATTTGAGGTATTTATTGATGATGGAGAAAAGTTATTCCTTCATGGACTTCACTTATATAGTAAAAAATTACAAGACATGGAAAAGCAAGATAAATTAGGAGAAATATTAGATGAAATTGATTTCAATCAAGCTATTATTTTTGCTGATCGTAAAGAACGTTGTCAAGCTATTGTTCAAAGATTGAAGAAAGAAAAATATCCATGTGGTATTCTTTATGGTAGGATGGAAGAATATTTAAGAGAAAGAGAGTTTGAGAGATTCAGAAAGGGTGAAAGTAGAATTTTAGTTTCAACTGATTTATGTGGAAGAGGTATTGATATTGAAAAAGTTAATTTGGTTGTTAACTTTGATATGGCTTTAGACTCTGATCAATTCTTGCATAGAGTAGGAAGAGCTGGAAGATTTGGAACTAAAGGAGTTGCTATTTCATTTATTGATACTGAAGAAGATGAAAAAGTTTTGAAAGAAGTCCAATCAAGATTTGCAGTACAAATGAAAGAATTACCAGATGACTTGAAAGAAATTCCATCCACATATTACAAGTAACTTCGTTCTATTACTTTTCTATTTTTTTTTTATTTTTAATTTATATTTAAACTAATTTTTAAAGTAAAAATTTATATGAATTAGTAATTTTAATTATTGCTATTCTTTTTAATTTCTTCAAATCTTTTAATAATAGTTATTTTTTGGTTATTTCATTTTTTTTAGTAAGATAATGCTTATTTAAGACTGATAGCTTATTATTTTTTAATTTCCAACAGATAAAGATATTTAATGTTCATAGTTTTTAGATGAATGTATTGGTATTATCAAAAAAAAAGGAATTGTTGATAATTAATAAAATTAATCAAATTTATAATGATATTGATATATTCATCATAAAACAACAATAGAAAGAATGAATTATTCTAATAATCATTAAAACCAAAATAAAAGTCAAATAACAAGTTAAATGAAGAATAATTTAATTGATAATGTTTGAAAAAAAATTTATTTCATTAGAAATAAAACGTGATGAAGAAAGTGATCCATTCATTTCTCAATATGATGAAATACTAATTATTGAGTAAATCAACTACATCAAACTCAATTAATTTAATTGTTTTAAAACATTTTTTGTTTAATTCTTTTATAAATTTTTTCTTTGTTTAATAAGTTTTTCAACTATAACACAAATCTATTTTATTGAAAGGAACAAAGAATTGTAATTTAAAAAAACTTTAAAGAGATATCATGACAGGAAACATAAAAAATCAAATGAAACATAGCACTAATAACTCTGTATTAGTTATGAATATAGTTAATTATGGAAATATTAATCTCTATGGAGAATCAACAATAAAAAATACAAAACATCAATGTGAATCAATCAACTATCAAGAAAAATTAAAAAACATTAAGCAAAAAGTCACTCCTACATTATACATTAAAAAAGAACAAAAAGAAACCAAAACCCAGAAAGAAATTGAACAAGAAATTGAAAAAGATGTTGAGTCTTATAAAAAATCAATACACACAAACCAAAATAAAATTAATACACTACTAATAAATCAACCATCTAATTTAATGACAACAACATTATCATCTTTTTGTCATAAACGTCAATATTTGGTAATTTATGACTCTGAGAAAAAGTCTTTTTTAAACCAAGAAATTTGGAGTTCTATTTGTGGAAGAAATAATATTATGATTATCATAAAAGACTGGAATGGAAATGTATTTGGTTCTTTTCATGAAGTTGTTCCTAAAAAAATGGGAGAATATTCCAAAAAAGATTTTAATCACTTTGTTTTTTCTTTGAACAACCCATATCACAACCCAATGAAATTTAAAAGAAAGGTTATTTCTCCAATCCTTAAAATTCATTTAGACAATGAAGGTATTTTAACTGTTAGTGGCTTCTTATTCATTGGAGTATTTAATAGCTTCTTAGTTTCAAATGAACGTTTTTGGAAATACTATACTGACCCAACAGATAAAGGAACAAATTACTTTTGTTCAAATGATTCAATTTTTACAGTTGATAGCATGAAAATACTTCAATGGTTTGATTAAATAAACTTAGACTCCTAAAGAGAAAAATTGAAATTTAAATAATAAAAAACAATTAATTAAGTATTAATGGAATTAGTTTCTATTGTTTCTGGCTTAGTGGAGATTAATCTCATTCAGTATGTCTTCTTCTAGAAGCTCTAAGGAGTATGTGTTTATTTGTGACAGAATTAATTTTTAATAACACTTATCATGTTTTAAATAACATAGTTTTTAATTCCTTTAATATTGTCTATTTCAATTTTCAATTCTATATTTAATATAATACTTTATGGATTTATTCAATTGACTCAAATTTATTATTTCAATTCTTTTGATATCTCTTTATTTCTCTATTTTCTTTATTCTATTCTTTATTTATTTTATTCAAATACAATCAACTACTATTATAATATTCAACATTATTCATATCATTTATTAGACTCATTTTATTCTTTTTATTTATTACTTATATTTCATTTATATTTTTCTTTTATGACATTTATATTCTGTCAATAAATATTTCCACTTACTTATTTTCATTATACTTAAATTTAATTCATTTATTGTTATTATGACATTATCATAATTTCTATATCTTTCATTCCACGATGTGATTTGTTTTATTTTCCAGTTATCTTTATTTAATATCACCTGTGTTTCATATAATATTTCCAATATTCTAAAGTAATATCGTTATTTGGGTATATTTCATTCTTTCTTCCTTATTCTGTTTTTCTTATTAAATTCATTCATGATTGTATTTGTATTAATTCTGACGAAACAATTTTTTTTAGAATTGATAATGAAGTGGATAAAGACAAAGAAAATAATGATAAAATATGAAGAATAAAGAAGAAGGATAAAAATAACAAGATGAAGAAAAATAAATTAAAAAGAGATCGATTATTAAAAGAAAAAGAGTATTGATTCAATGACATTTTATTTGAAGGAATATAACAATATAAAAGATAATAATAAATCGTTTTCACATCATTTCATCAATTCAGATTAAGAATAAACTTATTAATATTTATTTTTCATTATCAACATACAAATAAATAATAAAAGCAGAGAACTAATCAATCAAATTGTAAATTGTTGAATTGTGGTTATGTTAAGTTTAATTATTTATTCTTGGTAAATAGAATTCACTTCGGATTCTCCGAATGAATTTGTACTTATCAAATGAGAATTAAAAATATACAAAACAATATAACAAAGTGGAATTGTTTGATTATTTATTAACAATGGATATCAATTAAATTTCTTCAAATGAATCATTTTGTTATAAAATCATTTCAATTATTCATATTCAATGAAATTTATTTATATTTAATTACAATGAATTATGAAATACAAACAATGTTTTGTGTGAATATAGATATAAAGAAGAGATGAGAAATAAAGTAAAAAACAACGAAGGTGATCAACAAAAACACAAAACAAAGCAGTGAATAACAAGACAGACGAAATATGTAAAAGTAATAGAATACGAATAAATAAAATAAACAAGGAAGAATGACTCTTTGTTGTATTTTTCACATTAATAAATAATTAATATTAATAAAGTAATAAACTGAATGTTAATTAGAATAATTCAATTTAAATAAAATCAAATAAAATAATGAATGATAAATAATCAATATTTCAATGAATAAGATATAATGTAACATTCATATTTCTTAGACTAATCAACTTCTTCATTTGGTAGTTATTCTATTTAATTCATTGTTTATTTAAAACATAACTTTTCTGTTTATCATAATTTATAATTATTTTATTTTATTTTATTTTTTTTTTGGCAAAATAAATTTAAACTAAAATTCATTTAGTTTATTTAATGGTTTAAACTTACTTCATCAAACTGTTTTGTATAAATAATATCCCATACTCTTTCTGAAAGCGTTCCATTATTATACATACTTATTGTTTTTTAATTATTTCTTCTTTATAATGAATAATGTTGACAATTTATTTTCTAGTTCCTCCTTGGCAGCAATTTCTATACCTTCTTTTATCGTCGAAAAATATTTTAGTAGTTTAGTGTCTTATTTATTAATTTCTTTCTTTTATTATTGTATTATTTTTTAGGAAAGAACAATTTATTTAGTTTCAATTCTTTCAATTCAACAATTAATTCAATGAATTTCTCCAATGTATTTCATTCTTTTATTTCTTTTTATTATTTTCGTTTATTTGGGTATGTTTTTCATCTTGTTCTTCAGTAATACTCTGATAACTGATGTTTCTTTTCAACTTCTTCTTTACTAATTGAGGTTAATAACATTACACATATCATCTTCATTTTTTGTTTGTTTTTCTTCTTTTTTCAAGAAATTTCTTTATGAATAGAACAATACCATTTGTTCAACGTAATACAAACATGTCGCAAATATTCATTCTTTTATTGTTTTATAAAAATCTTGGTTGAAATTCAAAACATTGTTAATTGTTTGAACTTCTTTTTGTTGATAAATATATTCAACTATTTGGTTATATACATTCTTCCTATTCTTTCTGTTTCTTCTTAATACAAGATTATCAATAATAATTGCATCTCTTCTATCACTTTCTCCATGCGACTCTTTTTGTTTCTTTAGTTTCTGATTTTATACCATTATTTATTTTCTTTAAAAACATTCTTCTTCATGTTGAAATTACACAACGTACTTTTCAATCACTTATATTTCATTTAACAAACAATTTAATTTGTTTACTATTCATTGATTGTATTTTGTTTCAGTTTGTGAATGTTTAAAAGTAATTAAAAATGTTAATATTTATTTATCCATTTGATGAATTGAAGTTATTTACTAGTAACAACATTTTCATTTTCATTTGAAATAAATAACTTCTTTTCTTCATTTTTTTATAAATATTCTTCACATTATATTTTTATCTGAACGAAAAACAACAAAATAAATTTAAAAATAAATATTTTATCGATTGTTACATAATCATTATTTTATTATAAAATAATTTTCTATTAATACTGCTTTTATGTAATTTTACATAAAAATTTACAGTTAATTTAATGGAAATAAATGAATAAGAAAATATTTAAAAAAATGAAGAAAATTATCAATAATTTAACATAACAGTTTGTTTTTTATTAATAGTTTGAAATACAATCATAATTAAATAAAAATAAATTTGTGATGTTATGATTAAAAAAATGAATAAATAATTTTACACAACGCTTTAAAAAAATTATTTATTATTACAATTTTTAATTTAGTCACAATTATTATATTTTGGTTTATTAATGAATTATTAATTAGAATGGATGATAATGTTGTTAAATAATTATAATCATCTGAAAAGTATATGATAAACTATTTATTATTTCATCTTCAATAAATAAAACAAAAATATTATCAATATTAATATTTTCTCATATTAAATATTTTAACATTTAAACAATGTTTATTTCTTCTATTATGTTGTTATTTAATGTAATTTTATCATTTGATTTTCATTCATTCTTTATTCATTTTATTCTTTTATTC